CACCCAGGCGCCCATCTTCCCCTCTTCTAAGAGGGAATTTGTCTTTGTGCAGCAAGGGTGGGAGAGATGGTTCTTGTTGGGCACATGGGCAGGCTTCCCGGGGAGGAAGGGGGTGATGGCAAGGCCTCGAGAATGGGGTGCGCAGGATGCTGAGGGGCGCTGCCTGGGTCCCACTTCCCCCCCACCGTTTGACTGAAGGACTCATTCCTCCAGTGGAGGGGAGTGCTGAGGGCTGAGGGCTCACAGCTGAGTCCGCCCACATGAACTGCCCTTGGCCTTGCCCCTCCCTAGGGGCAGCCTGCACCCGAAACACGTAGATACAGGCGTATAAAGGCCTGGGCCCCTCATCCAACTCAGGACCACTCTAAGGGGCCTTTGCTGCTCCCTGTGCAGTGGGCAGAGGCCTTGAGGTGACTGCACGGGGCCCAATTCCTCCCTCTGCCATCCTGCTTGCTGCCCTCCCTCAAGAGCACGCCCCAGGGAACTCCAGCTGGTGTGACTGCGAAGAGCTGGCTGACAGAGCCTCCCTAACAGGGAAGGGCAGGGAGATCAATCAGCCAGGACCTCGGGGTCCTGAAGATGCCCCAGGATGCAGCACAGGTACTGGTGGGTCCGCGCACGGAGGGAGGGAGGCGCTGGCTAGAAGGGTCAGCAGGGAAAAGAAGAGGGCACGGACTCAGTGAAGCCCAGACGGGATCTGCTCAGAGGCCACAGGATCTGCTAGCAGCCGGCAGGCTGAACATACAACCTGTGTTTTGTTTGGCTCATATGGTGTTTTAAAATACTATAAAATTAGTCACCAACACTTAAAAATTTGAAGATTTCACACAAATATCCAGATTTCTGTCTTCTCTGAAGACCCAGCACCCTGGGCTAGGATTCCTGCCACCCCCACCGCACCTGGAACAGGGAAGAGGCATGTTTTCTTTGTGCGTGCGTCTGAGTTTGAGTACCCTTCTGGAAATGCCTACTGCAGAGAGGTATCCCTCCTCCGAAGTGATGCGGGCCTGCCGGGGCCAGTGAGCCCAGTCCAGGCTGTGTCAGACCCCACTTGTCCCGCAGCTTGGCATCTCTGCAATGTACAACCTGCCCAACTGTCCAAGGAATCCCTGCCCCAAGTGGCCATGACACACCCTGGCCCCTGATGGTCCTCCTGCCACTGGACACTGTCCCAAGAGAGGATACTCACAGATCCCATGGTAGATGCCTGGCTCTGGCGTGGTTACTTCGGGGGCAGGGGGACTGGATGGCCGCTCTAGCCCCAGGGCCTGTGCACAGGTTGGGGGAGAAACAGAGGGAAAGGAGGTGAGTTTAGTGATACCCGCACAGCTGGCTGGCTGTTCTCCCAGATACTGTTATGCACCCTGAGCCCCAGGTAACCCCTTGTGTCTTTTCTTGCATTTTCTGCCACTGTGGAAGCTCCGTGACAGGTAACATGGGCAGATCCAGAAACCCTTGTGTGTCTGAGCCCCTGCCACCAGCTCCTACTGGTAGGGGAGGAGTCTGACGCCACCAGCTAAGGGGATCAGATTTTCTGGAACAGGGAAGGACCCAACAGATGTTTACCTAGGGAGCTGGAGGAAGGAGGGAGGGAGAAGGATCAGGAGGGAGGGATGGAGGGAAGGAGGCAGGACCAATCCAACCCGAGGCCTGGGCATCTGCATTTTTAAAGCCCCTCAGGAGACTGGCAGGGGAAGCCAGGATAAATCAGCCCTGGTCTAGAGGCAGTCACAGTGGGCAGCCACTCCCCACCATATACATTTTGCTCATTAGACCTCTACACCATAAGTTAGGGCAAAAGGGCCTTTACTACGTTGCAGACAAGGAAGCTAAGATGCAAAAGAAAGGGAAGCTGGTTTCGGAGTTTCGGTGGGGATGGTGTTTCGGTCCCAGGAACAGTGGCGCCCTCGGCCCAGCCCCTAGACACAGCCTCCTGAGGCCCTTGGAGGAGAGTGAGGAAGGTGGCCCGCCAGGAGCATCCACGATGCCCAGCAGCCTCGGTCACCAAGGAAGGCCGCTGCCCTGGCACCCATGTGCCTTCTTGTGCCTTCCCTGGCTCCCTGCCCTCGCGGAGCCTCCTGGGACGCTCCCTGGTGGGTGCGCTGACCTGGATACCCAGCCTGGTGGGGTGCAGCTCCAGCCCCATCACTCTCAAGGGGGGAGCCACCGGCCTCCCAGCACTCGGGCTGGGAGAAGGATTCCTCCCTATCCCTCACAGGCTAGATGAGATCAGAGACCCTTAGAAGCATTTGTTTTTCATTTTTGTTTTT